ATCTATCTATCTATCTATCATGGCGGTGCTTTGGTGAATCATCAGTGTCAGGCAGCAGAGTGGGAAATGTTTTACAAATGCTGCCTGTCAGGAGGGAGGAGACCATCCTCCGGAGGTTTCAATCACCCCCCATCCAAACCCGCCCCACCCCGACTCCCTCCATCCTTCCATCTCTTCCATCAGAGGTGCTAATGAGCCCAGGAGAGGCGGGGGGATTGCTGGGGGGAGAGAAAGAGAGAGCAAGATAGTGCAAATGAGGTGATCAAGTCATGCTGTGTGTGCGTGTGTTTGGGTTTGGACTATCCATCACACATGAGTGAGGGAATGCTGCATGTTGGAGTCAGTGATCCAGTGTCACAGTGATGTAGGCGCCAGGTTGTGACATGAGGTGAGTGCGCAATAACTCGTCGTGTAGTGAGACACAACCTGCCGACACAGCGTGGCCTCACACCCTGAGAAGGACCGGACTTGGGCGCTTTCACGGCGCCCAGGTTATTGCAATTAGTTCTAATATTAGGATGTTTCTGCACAGACACGGCTCCACTACACACACGTGCCTTGTGCCAGCTAGCAGTAAGAAAGAAGCCTTTCAGGCACCCAGCGCACAGCCACGCCAAACACAGCAGTCACTTCTGGAAACCACTTGGCACGCACCCACATCCCTGTTGTGAGCTGCATGCTGGTAGTCAATGTGTATGTGAAAGCCAGAGAGGACCTTGGGGTGCTACCTGAAGCATTTTAATGGCAATACATTAATAGCACATTTAACATTTGAATAAATAAAGATATATTGTACTTTGATATATCTATTCCAGAAATTTCATGAAGCAATTTCCTTTTATCTATGCTATAAGAAGACTCCACAACCACTCTACCCGCTCTGTGAGGCTGTGATGCTCCCTGCTGAGGAGTCTAAACTGTTAGATAGACCAAAGTTGAAGTGTGGTGTAAGAATAAAAAAACAAAACTGGATAAGTAAGATCTTCCACTAGATGAAAAGTCAAGGGATCACCAGTCAGTAGGATTAATTATTAAGGCCCCATGAATGACTATACAACAGTTAATAGAAGGTACTTACAGTTGTTGATATATTACTATCAGAACCAAAGTGGTGGACAAAGAGACTGACTGACACTGCCATCGACTGAGTCACGCCACTACTAGCATGTGTAGTGCGATGTATGTAAGCCCATATGGGATGGGGACAATATGGTGCAGGACACTTAAACAAATCAATCAATCAATCAATCAATCAATCAATCAATCAATCAATCATGTGCAATACATACATATACCATATCCATACAGCGACAATAATGATAATACTTTCAGGCTGGTGTATTTTAGCTTCTATTGCAAGAACTGAGAGATAAACTGTCTTTTGCATGCAAACATTCATTAGGTGAAACTGCTGTTTGGGTAATGGTCACTTTGTGTCCAATAACTATAACCAGAAATTTTGTAATTTAAGTTTTTCAGTCTGGTATATCTCCTTATTATATAAATATCTGGCAATTTGAATGTAAAGCAGCAACTACAGGGTGGAATGTAAAGCAGCACTTGCAGGGTGGCCACCTACTGAAGGGACTTCATGAAAAGTTTCAGCTAAAATCTAAATATAACCAAATAAAATCCCATTTTCTAACTGTGGCTGTATTGGCCCCACATTCCATCATATTCGTAAGATGATGTAGTGCTTCATTTACAGGAATTGATATGGACGATAACCACAGAGGACAAGATAGAATTACCTGACACAAGGATTTTATTTCACTATTTATCCTTCAGCAGCCATGTAACAGGGACAAAAGTGGCATCCCCTTTCATGGTCTGCTTGCCATGCACATTTATGGCTCTACAATGCAATGTTACACATGTTTACTGACGATGGTTTTTTTCCCAAGCAGCACATACAGTGAATGAGAATGGAAATATGTGGAAGGCAGAAAGATTGTCTGCTAGTGTGTGGTCACACAGATGAACTAATAGCTGTGGATTTGAATCACCAGACTGGTTTTAATGTATTAATCCACAGAATTTGCTTAGTGGAAACTGCGGATTCATATGGCCATAATTCCTAAGTCAACGCTCTTTGACTGTGATTAAAGTTGGTAGCACATTAAAGAAATCCTGAAGGGCATAATGTCTGTTATATGTTTTGCCAATTAGCTCCCTAGTTACCACAAAAGCAATAGCAACCGATTACATTTTTCACACTTTGCGAGGCTTTAGAGAATTTCCTGCACAGAAGGAAAAATTATCAGTGCAGCCTGCTGATGTTGACACTTGCACCATCTAGAGCTGTAAATTCAAACAAGTAGAAGTGTTCGGGAAGTGTAACAGATGTCAGGGAGTGTAAGAAACATCAACAAACCAAAAGCAAAGCCAGAAGAGCAGCTTACTGGATAGTCGATGCTTAAATTGACATTATGTTGCTCTAATGGGCAAAGCTGCTGTGCATGAACATAGACTCACACCAATGTGAAATAATGCAAACCCAGTCCCAGTCAGTAACTTCAGGTGATTTACCTAGGGTAGATGCCGCTGACCATGTCCTGACCTAGGAGGTCGGAGGCTGCGTGGCTCGGCCCAGCGGTTTTTGACAAGAGCAGGACGATCAGTCCCCTCATCTGAAGGTTGTTCTTACTGTCGTAGACAAAGCCCCTGCAAAGAAACACCACCAGTAGATTAAAATACAAAAAGGCACATATCAAAAGCTTGTTAACTGCAGTTAATAATTAGGTAAACATGGTCCAAAAACTCTGTAGAGAAAACTTTTTTTGTAGTTTAACTACTTTACAAAATGCCACAATATGGTATATAGTCCAATCTTGCCAAGCAGCAGGTTTTTTTGTTGTTGTAGCATTTATGTTTCCAACATCATTCCCTACGCCCTGCTGCCTTCTATTGTGAGGAGACTGATTCCAGGTCCACCTGCTCCCACTGCCACACTTTACCCTGTTTTAATGAGCAATGTTTGAGAACCAGTAACAGCTTGCAAACAGCCAGTTTGCATAGTTGAAACTATGTGTTTTGTATAGCGGGAGGGAAATCCCACGGGCCAACATATTTCTCCAAAGTAAGACTGTTCCTCCTTTGTGCTGTAAGGCAGACCAGAGTATGAGATGCAAAGCAAAGAATGTCAGAGTCTGCTAATCCTCATGGTTGGTTATAATAGTGTTTGACAAATAATATGTCTGTCAATTATTGGTGTAAAAATGTAACACAAAACATGTTTAAAAATGTGCTAGTAGGGGGCAGTGGAAACAGGCTGTATACACAACATTTACATATTATCACATTTAAAATCAGTATGACAAACATGTTCATTTTCACATCCAGCAGACAACAGAGGACCACAATTGTTCATTTGGGGCCATCGTACAGTCACTGCCGTTTAGCTCTGGTTTGGTCTCCACCAGCTGCTGAGGGAAACATGTGACTCTGCTCAGTGCTCCACTATGTTCACTGGCTTGGTGCTAACATAGTCTGCTATTTGGTGCTGACAGGTAACGTATAATGGGTTTACCAGAAGCATTTTCCTTCCTGCTGCAGTTGGAAACTATACTGATGAGAACAGTGAGACTGAACCAAAACA